TTTTTTTTTTTTTTTTTTTTTTTTTTTTTTTTTTTTTTTTTTTTTTTTTTTTTTTTTTTTTTTTTTTTTTTTTTTTTTTTTTTTTTTTTTTTTTTTTTTTTTTTTTTTTTTTTTTTTTTTTTTTNCTAGGGCAGGGGTCGGCAACCTTTTGAGTCGGAAGAGCCAAAAATTACAATTTACAAAATTTCAAAGTTTTTAAAGAGCCACAAAATTTTTTTCTTGCCAACAATAAATAGTACTCGCATAAATAAAGTTTTTTGATAAAAAAACTAATCTATTTATTCAGAATTGTCTTGTGTCGAAAGCGAATTAAACCTCATAGAAACATCCGACCACGGCGTCATTCGAGAGCTTCCGACGTACTGACGACAGTGACGACGCGTGTCACGGGGGAGGGGTGCGATGAAAAGCGAGTACAAGTGGCTGAGAGATAGAATCAGTGCCGAATCCTCGTTAATCGATTCAGATTTTTAAATGGTTTTTTTTTTTGATAAAATAAATAATATTTGCGTATGGAACTAAAGAGCCGCAGCTTCACATCCAAAGAGCCGCAGGTTGCCGACCCCTGCCCCAGGGGAATCGCTGGCCTATGTTCCTTTTTCTGTCTTTTTCTTTAATTAATGTGCTAATTTTTGTGATACTGTATTACAAATTTATTTAGTTCATTACATATTTCCATTATACTTTTCATGATTTCTGATGATAATTTTTTTAAACGTAAATGCAATGTATAAAAGTCATTTTCGTTGTTTTTTTTATTATTTCGTTAATTTTTGTACTGATTTAAGCTGTTATACGTTTGTTATTGACTGACAGCTTTCTGTTATTTTAACATTTTTATTCAACTTTATTAATTACAAGATAATATTGTAAACAGAAGCACGTGTTTTTGCGGTCATGTGACCGAAAAAAACGCCTGGTGACGTTATGCTATTTCCTGCGACCTCCCTATGACGTAATATCTAAAAAATCAAAATATTAAATGTTTTCCATTATTTAAAAACATTATTTCACTAAATAATTCATTTATTGTTTAGACATTTATGATAAATTAATTCATATTAAAAGAATAAATGAATTTTATTATTATGAAAATAATTATAAATAAGTTATTAGAATAAAAAATACAGATAATACATTCTAATTATTATTTTGTAATGTATTAATAAGTTAAATTTTTTTATAATGTATAAAATACATTATTTGAGTATGTAAAAGATAGGTACTATTGTGATCTCTAGATGGCTTCAATGCAAATAATATGTTAATTCTGTTTTTAATTTTTTTTAATTAAAAAATTCAAGTAATTCAATTTAGTTTTTTAATGCAAACATATAACATTTACACTAACTTACAATATTTTTAATTTGGACACCATCATAATATTTGGCATAAAAAATATAAAAAAAATTAAATAAATTAAAAAAAAATACTTATTTTGTATCCAAAACAGTCATTGCCAAAAGATTTACACAAAATTGGGATTCTTTAGCATTAATTAATTCATATTATAATTTATTATTCATACATGAAACAAACTAACAAGAAAATTTTATTTTTAAATGAAATAAAGGTTAAAGTGATTTGATTGTAATATATATAATTATATCGCTTTAAAAATATAATAAAATAATTTTATTTTATAAAAAAAAAATGGGATAATTAGAATGAAAACATGGTATAAGGGGTACGAACAATTGAAATTAAATATCTGATATGGATACGAATATGAAGATGACACTGATGATAACAGGTATGTATGATAAATACAAATATTTCTGAAGATAAAACAAAATTAAGAGAAAAAAAAATAAGTTATACTATAAAAGTCTTTTATAGATATAGGAAGATATCTATAAAAGATATCTATAAAAGTCTTTTATAGATATCTTTTATAGGATCCCCATTCTTTTTGCAAAATTTGCATTTTATACCTTGTCTTCTTAATGTATTTATATTTTTCTCTTCAAATAATGATTTATTTTTATGTAAAATAAACTGATTTTCCACCATGGTGTTCTTTGAAAAGTGTTAGTAATTCATTAATATTCACTTTTTGTATTTCATCTCTATAATGAAAATAAAACAAATTATTATTAATTATATCGAAACAATAATGATGGATTTAAATTGTTTTATATAAAATTAAATACTTCAAATATTGATTGGCATATTGATAAACATAAAATTGGTTAATTTTCAAAATAGGCAAAAAATAATATATATATGAAATTTACTGTTTAACCGTAGAAGAGTGATGACATTTTACTAAATAACATCTAAAGTTAATACCTTATATATTATTATATCTTTCAGTGGTATGTTTATCTATAAATGTTAAATTTTTGCCATTATCCTTTCATATTAAAGGTGTGTTAGAGCACTTCTACTAACGTGCAACTATTTAATTAAATAAGAATATAATCTTTAAGTGGATCCAATGCTTTTTCAGCATCTTCCCTGCTCACTTTACAGAGTTAGCCAGTTAACTCTGTAAAATAGTTTTAGATTAATTTACAATCCTCTTGTTACTAATATTTTAATTAAAAAATGAGCAAATATTTAATTACATTAAAAATAAAAAACTTAATAAATAAATTAATTAAATGTTATAATTAAAATTACAGAATAAATTTTCTTACCAATAAAATATATTTTCTTTAATTTAGGAATTTCATAATCTAATGGTCCATTCGTTACTCTGTCACTGGCTCAACATCTATCAGTATAAATGTATGGTTCTGCATTAAATATATTTGATGAATCTATAGTGTTTATATGGAATACTGAGTTTAAACCCTAATAAAATTAATAATTTTTAAAAATATTATATGTTATTTTCATAATATTCCTTGTACGAAACTTTATTTAAGAACATAAGTTAAAAATATTGTTAAAATTGTAAAAATAAATTATATAAGGTTAAAAACCTGTGAGAGTATAAATATCGTGAGAATGAATCAACACGATAAAACCTAAGTGCTTCTACGACGAGAGAATTTATAACAAGCGTGCTTGGTGGAACAGACGCTTATACTGTATATATATTTAATTAACAAATGCTGTATAAAAAGGTTACAAATAATTAATAATACTACTAATGTAGAAACTAACCGAAACCGAAGATACAATAGGCGGTTAGCTGGCTTACATCTCGCGTATTTCCGACAGAAGATATTCTTTGATCCTTATTACTATTTCTTTATTAATTAGCCCTAGTCCACCTGAGAGAAGGGAGAGAGTTCGACTTACTAAGTTGTAGATAGTCGAGCCTTTGCTTATACGTCCGTTTCCGGCGGTCAGTGTTGAAGGTAATCCGTTGTTTCTCGCTATCTTGGAGGCCACACCGATAACTGGCCGGGAGCCCTCTTTATACCAAATTTGAGGGGGTGAGAACTATGATATTATTGATGATAACAATCCACGAAAAACCTTTTTTTACGAGTGTTATGTCACTAGTAAATTCCACAAGTACTTTCGACCTCCACCGAGGTCTGCTTCAGGTGGCGACTGGCCGTGCTTCGACCCGACCGTCCTAACGATGTTGCCAACGATGTAAATAAATAAATGTGCGCGTCGAGTTTCACCCCTCCGACTGACACTGTTCGAATTCCTCGAACAAATACTTCCACGCCTGTGCAAGCTTTTCCCCATCCTTGAAGTTGATGCATTTGCCCCCCTGATAGCTTTATGAATCTCCCAGGCCTCCAGGTGACGGATGTGATCCGCTCGGAACGCTTGTCTGATAAGTCTGGTGTTCCGGAAGTGCGCCCTTATTTCAGGGTCGGTGACGTAGGTCGATAAGGCGGCGGTGTGTCTTTTATGTTTAATATCAGCTTGGTGTTCACGTATTCGTTTCTGTGTTGACCGGATGGTGGAGCCAATATAAACTAAGTCCCTATTGAATCTGTCGTCCCTGATGGGAATGGAGTAAACACCTGGGGCCCTGGTGAGATCCATCGCGTCCTTGGCGTTGCGCGGCAGGTGATAAAGCGTGCCGGTTCTTAAGTACGCGATTTTGGTGCGGCTGTTGCTAGCGATCTCCCTATATAGGGGGTCTAAATGCTGGTTGAACCGGACGACCGCGCGTCTAGCGTTCCTATCTGGTTGTCGGTTGTCGTCCGGCGATGGTAGGGGGGCAGTCCTTGCGGCGAGGGGGCGGCGGGCGCATGCACGTGCTAAGCCGCGGACCATGTCTTTACTGTAATCATGCTCAACGGCAATTTTTTCTATGCGACGGATCTCCAATCATGCGTCGCGCACATGTGTGTGGTGCGTGAAGGCCCGTCTGGTAAGGGCACGGAAAGCCGCAATTTTGTAGACAAAGGGGTCGGAAGAGTTCGCGGAGATGAACAGCGGGAGCTGGTCANGCGTTAAAATATTAAAGCAGTTTATATACTGGATTTTTTATTTGATTTATCAACATAAAATATTTAAATCTCTATTAGTAACCGGCAGTGGCGTGCCGTGACATTTGATGATCAGGAAGCTGTGTTTCTGTAAGAAGCCGACTTCCAGGGGCAATCAGTTAATTGCGCGTCAGTGATGATCTATGGTAAATACGCTTTCGTCTAACTCAACGACTTTGTTAGCGCCAGATTTTTACATTGGGCCAAGAAATTTAGAATTTGCACACAACCTCACGCACGTAATTGTTCCAGTCTACAGTTGTGCTTCCTAACAGCAATTGACAAAATTCTCCAGAGGTTAATTCCAAACACCAGAAATATATAAAACGTACAGCAGTCAAACACGTAAATCTTCGAACGATTTTTGACTTCTCAAACCTTTTTTTTTCATGGCAAGGCCAGATATTGTATCTCCATTCCGGTGTTTCGGAGAAGCAAATGGATCATTTTGTGATTTCTTGCACATTATTTAAAATTCCATTTTCTTGGAAAAATCGAATCGCACTTTTTTCGTCATTTGGCAATAGCCAAATTGTAAAGTTCATTTTAACTCGAAGAAAAAGCAAATAAAAAAAAACAAGTACTACTAACTCTGAAAACAACGTTACAGTTTCTACCTTTAGTTTACTTCACTCCTTCTACGAGATACGAGACGTAATTTACATAATCTCATGATCTTTTTTTAAACTCCGCCCTGCGGGCACAAAGAGGGCCTCTTTTAGCAAGTCCATTATGGATTCGGCCAGGCCCACAATGGAGCGGCCGGTGGTGAGGGACGGGGTCCGACATAACCGGACGGACCCCCCGAAGAATTCCTGCGAATTTTTCGACCCGAACCTCACGATGTAAATGAGACGCGATACTATGCAAAGTAAGTTAAAAATAAATTTTAAAATGTAATTATAACTTTTAATATAATTCTAATTTATAACCAATTAACATAAAATAACAAGTATTACGTATAGTATAAAACTAGAAGTTGAAATATAACTGTTGCTATTATACCAATGCGAAAATACGCTAATCATTTTCGATATCAAACGTGCATTAACAATGGTTTAATTTCATAATCTTCTTTTATAACTTTTATACATACTTAAAGAAAAGAGTATCTAATTAACTTTATATATGATGTAATCTATATTAAAGCGAATAGTAAATAAGATTTCATGAATTGACTGGTGTCCCGTTAACAAAAGAGTGCCTGGAAATTATTTTATTTCTTGAATTTCGAACCAACGAGGACTTCCTGTATTAATTAATAATACATACGCGCGATACGTATTAAAAGTAAGCCAAACTCTTGTGTTTGAAAATAATACTTGGCGCACCAACTGAAATCAATCAGCGTTCACAAAACAATGTTACATAACGGCCGTAGGACAAAAGCATTTGTTATCGATTAGAAGTAAGAATATTACACCACGTCGAACGTTTTTCACGTTTTCAATATACAAATTGCGAAAACATCAAACTTATTCATGAAATTTACTTACATAAATTAAGAGATTACTGTATATATTTTTTAAATTACCTCCACAAACGTTTTAAATAACGCCAACGAAATTAAAACTCTCGTTTCAAAGAAAAAAACAAAAATCAAATTTAAATTCGAATTGACGTAGAACAGAATCGTTTCTTTAAACTTAAACGTCGTTCGAAACATCGAATTCAGTTTTCTGCTTTCCTACGAAGAACAACAACAACACGAACGATCGTCGAAAAACGAGAAGCAAAAAACGCGTAGTCATCCTCCCCTCGTTGGAGGAAGATCCCTCTTCGGAGAAGAAATTGACTCGACTGCGGCAGAATAGTATTAACCGACATTAGAAGAAAAATAGCAGGAACACGTAGGAAGAGAGCGAAGGCGAGAAAGAACAAAAAAAGCAGATCAAAATCGAATAAATGGAAGGGGAAAGGAAAGAGGACGATCTCGTAGAAAGAGCAGTCGCGACAGAAACAGGGAGTCCTTTAATCTCGACCGATGTCCCCGACAACCGGAATTGGAATTGCTAGATTACCGTAATCTAGTGATCAAACGGCTCTTTTCAGAGCCACTTTTTTATTGGTAAAGGATGGCCAAATTCATTTTAATAAACAGTAATTAATGCTTTATTATATGTCGTACATTCAATTTTAGTTTAAATTTTGAATCGTTAGGAACGTTTCGAATCTACAAAATCGAAACTATTTGGCCTGTATTAGAAAAAGAACCCCAATTCAAATCTGTATAATAGTGGAAACTGATGGTCTGAGGTAATATCCTGGAAATGCTTAACAGATCTTTATTATTTATGAATTAAACACCTTGATAATGCGTGTTTTGCATCAGTGCTCTCCATTGGATATATTATAATATTGGAAAGTTAAATCAGTAGGAATAGCCTTGAAATTCACAGTTGTCTCGACAACCGAGCGACGACAGTTGTGAGCGCTATAACTTTAGTCATATAAACTTTTATATTTTAAAATTACGATTTTTCAAAAACTATTCACTATAATTCTTTCAAATTACTTAAAATGTCCTTTTAGCAATGATGTTCTCAGTTTTTGATTATCTACACTTTTACATATTTAATGGGCACAGGGCGGAAAGAGTTAGGTTAGGTTAGTAGTTATTTCCCTCAATATTGTCAGCATTTAAATATGTTATGTTATGTGATATTTAAAATGGGATCAAGCTATAAAAAAATCTCCAATGTTACATTTATACAAAAAAATCAGAATTAATTTTGCAAAGTATTGCAACCTGCCAGGCAATTTATGATGTCCTATGAAATTTTGGTGACAGTAACTACTTATTTTTTTTAATGTAGTAAATTTATTTAAAGTTATATTCAAAAGATATATTCTTCCATTATTTGATGGAAATAACAATTTATCAGTGTTATAAAGAAAATCTATATTGTTAATTTCACATTTTTTGCAGATAAACTGCATAAACATGTGTATTAAACATATTCATTGTAATATTAATCATGTGTCAGCCGCTCGGGGCGGAGGAAAATTTCGCCCCCCCTTATTTAGGTATTTCAATTTAAAAGACCAAAATTCAGTTTTGCCACAAAACAAGCGATGAAAAATTCGGCGGTAGTGCAGCGACCTGTCTAAAATAGTTCTATTGGATATTAGTGGTGTATATGAACGCGAATAAATCGTACAAGAAAAGAAAAAAAAAGAGGTCAACAGGTTTCACAGGAACTCCTCGGATGAAAAAGCTACTAGTTCACCCGGCGAGCCGGTTCCCGGACTGTCCGGACGATAGGCGCGATCAGTGCCGGCCCGAGGCAAGTTTTAGGATGGAGCGAGATCCTATTATGGCGCCCCTTGGTTGCCCTTAATTTATACCCTTTAATTTTCTTTGCCACTGAGGCGCCCCCTAGGACTTAGCGCCTGGAGCGGCTGCTCCGTTCGCCCTATGGTAGGGCCGGCTCTGGGCGCGATGCAAGTACAGATTAGGATGTTTCAAAATTTTACAAGATGATATTATTTATTGGGAAATTTTGCCGCTCCCTAAAAAGTAGGGCCGCCCCTGCCGTCCCCACTACGGTACGCCACTGAAATGAGGCTCTTTTTTGAAAGCCACTCTTAAGTCATCAGATGTATTTAAACGATTTCTGGCTTTTGTTTTGATGTGCAAAAGTGTATTCAAGGTATGCGAACACGTCTCAACTAGTTTCTGTACTGCACGTGACAATGTGACTATATTAACTGCGTGTACTGACGACTGACGATAAGCGCTATGTGCTGAGAGACAGTAGAGTAGAGAGTGTAGAAGTGAGACGGTAAAGAATGAAGAAGTGGGGATACCGTTTGATGGGTACCACGGTTTGTAGAGAACACGGTCGTCTCGTTCGTATTTTTTTTTTTTTTATTTTGAAATTTTTCTCACACCCCCAGGGGTGTACGCACCCCGGGTTAAGAACCGCTGGGTTTAAACGATGGACGCCTATCTCAACGAATATTTCACTCCACATACGGTTGTTGTGACCCCTCGACTCTCTTGATATTTTTATTATTTTTAATGAAAGGAGCGGAAGACCAGGACTACTCAGAGATATCGCCTGGGATGAAAAAAATGGAGAGGAATGGATGAGGGGGGGTGAAAGTGTGATAGGAAAGATGGTGAAGATGGGAGAGACCGTCAGACCGAGCAACACAGTTAATTTAGATAGGATGATACATGTACAGGACACAAAAAGAAAAAGTGTACGTACAAATAGTTATGGAGTGTTACATATGCACGAAAAGCTTTGTGGTTACAAAACAATTACAAATACCGGGTTGGAAGTGATGATAGTTAGAAAAAGGTGCGTGGTGGTCGAGGTACAGTACATAGGCAATGGGGTGGAACAACAGATAGCGCGTAACAATTACCGGCAGGGTGTATGGTTTCCGTATAAGGTGTTATTACTGGCTACCCAATTTTGCAGAACAGCTCCAGTTACAATATAACATTAACGGTTTAGAAAAAATATTTCTTGGAAACTATACACGTTAGACTCGTGCAGTTTTCGCGATTGTTTTCTTCTGTGTTTATTTTACATAGAAAAAATTGTTTTGGATTTTATTTTTAAATAAATTTGTCATTTTCGATTTTTTATATAAATAGACCTCGTACAAAACTCAAGGTCATCTATAGCCTAGAGCAGCGGTTCCCAACCTTTTTTAATTGGCGTACCCCCGTGGCATTTCCAACTCCCCAACGAGCAACGCAAGCGCAAATCTCGCACTGCTTGTTTGTAGAGAGTGTCGTCATTTTGAATATTATTTTGACTCTGTTCTCGGTCCTAGTACCTACAAGTCTGGTTTTTTTATGCGCGCATGATTTGGGGCACCTAATACTTTGCGCCAAACTGCAACTTTTGACACGCACTCCTTCATACCTGTAAGCTGGTAGCACAGCAGGCAGTACAATTTTATAAACAAGACAGTCTTGTAAATAAAAAATTAATAAAAATACTGAATAAATAATGAAAACATTACAGCTTGTAGAGAAAATACTTTTTATAAACAAAAGAATACTTTTTTCAAACAACACGTGGGGATATTTTTGATAGTGTTGCCACCTTTTCAAAATCGCCGACCGGACGGCAGGTGAGGTTTGTTCGAACAGAAGTTCCTGACGCGTGCGTAATGTCATTTTGCAATGCGAAGAATAATATGCAGTGCATGCGGATTCTAAATCAGTTATAGTTAGGGACTAGAGAAACTCGGGCAGGAGTAACGTAAGTAACCTAAATTAAGAAAGAACAACTACAAATGACTTAGCTCTATTGAATATTGAAATGTATAATAAACTTTGTGATTGTCGCAACAAAGATTTTTTATTTAATAATTTTTTAATACTATTAATTTGTGATACATAATATATTATTTTTTCTGCCATAATAAGTAAACTTTTTTCTGTACTCCTAAACAACCTATCGCGTACCTTTTGAGTCGGAAGAGCCAAAAATTACAATTTACAAAATTTCAAAGTTTTTAAAGAGCCACAAAATTTTTTTCTTGCCAACAATNTTACTGTAATCATGCTCAACGGCAATTTTTTCTATGCGACGGATCTCCAATCATGCGTCGCGCACATGTGTGTGGTGCGTGAAGGCCCGTCTGGTAAGGGCACGGAAAGCCGCAATTTTGTAGACAAAGGGGTCGGAAGAGTTCGCGGAGATGAACAGCGGGAGCTGGTCAGGTTTATGGTAAACGCTCGTTTCTATCTTGCCCCCCTGAGACGGATGCTAACATCCAGAAAATGTGCACTCGAGTTGTTAACCTGATCCAAGCCGAGGGTGAGGCCGTACGCATTGTCGTTCATACACGACAAAAAATCGTCCATATTGGGAGTGGTTTTCCACAGTATAAAGATGTCGTCCACGCATCTTTGGTATAGACTGATGTTTGATAAGAATTTGGGCAGCACTTTCTCCTCCAACTATCTCATCACCAGCTGGAAAAGGTCCCCCGAAAGCGGGCTGCCCATGGGGACACCTCGTCTTTGTAAATAAGTAGCTTCGTTGAACTGGAAAACCGAAGTGTAGCACATAAGATGCGCCAGCTCCAATATCTGCTTACGGTACCGGAGTGCATCATTCTCACGTAGTAGAAGGTCCCTAAGAGCGCAGAAGCATGGCTGCAGTCTTATCGAAGGGAAAAGGGACACGAAATCCATGACCGTGAAGTGCGGGTCNCCGAAGTGTAGCACATAAGATGCGCCAGCTCCAATATCTGCTTACGGTACCGGAGTGCATCATTCTCACGTAGTAGAAGGTCCCTAAGAGCGCAGAAGCATGGCTGCAGTCTTATCGAAGGGAAAAGGGACACGAAATCCATGACCGTGAAGTGCGGGTCGTCACCAACCTCGACCCGTCGTAACAACTCTACAAAATCAGCGGAATTGGTAATAGAAAACTTGTAACCCTTCAATCGTTCGGCGGCGATGTTGTGGACGGCCTTCTCGAGCAGCCTCGTAGGGGACCTAGCTTTATCCAGGATCGGCCTAAGAGACGGGGTCTGTTTGTGCGTTTTGGCCAACGCGAACAGCCTCGGAGGCAACGACCGCCTTGCTCAATCCCCATTTCATGGCTAACGACGTGCGGATGAACCTAGAAACACGAGACTGTAGCTTATCTATGTAGCCGTCGTCGATGGGCTGGCAGTCCGTGTCGTCGATATACCGTTGCATGAGAGACCTGTAGGTGGCTTCCTTTAATAGAACGAGAGATTTGTTTTTATCCGCTTTGAGGACTATGATGTGTTCGTCCGTCAGCCATTTCCTGGTTTTTCGTAAGATGCGCCACCAGTTGTCATTGCGGGTCCTGTTGACGGAACAAATCGTGAATGCGGCTTTCCACCTGTAGTACTCTTTTCGGGTGTCGCTCGAGCCGTTGATGAGCCTTTCGATGTCGGGCATTATATTCTCCGGGCGCAATTTCGACGGCCCGGGGCAAAAATCACTGGTGCAGCACGCGAAGGTTTTTTGTGAGAACTTTGTTTAGCTAAGATCCAATCAAGTTTTTTACGGTACCTCGTCTGTAGGTCGCGCGACAGGGTTTCCTGGAAGCATGCCGCCCTTCTGTTCGCGTCTTCGAGCTCAGTCCGGTTGCGTTCGAACATTTGGTTCTCCAATCTGATTAATCTGTCCAGGATGGAATAGACGCTCTTCCTGGTGGTTCGAATGGCCCTCCTTAAACATATCTTCCTGAGTTTCGGGAGTATTGTCTCGCAGTTCTTGGGGAGGCGTATCCGGTAAATAGACATAGGCAATACATCGTTACTCTGGCACTCTACTAGGAAACTAAGTTTCGAGGAATCGAGGAATTCGAACAGTGTCAGTCGGAGGAGTGAAACCCGACGCGCACATTTATTTATTTACATCGTTGGCAACATCGTTACGACGGTCGGGTCGAAACACGGCCAGTCACCACCATCTGTCACGACTTCCACAGACCTCGGTGGAAGTCGAAAGTACTTGTGGAATTTACTAGTGACATAACACTCGTAAAAAAAGGTTTTTCGTGGATTGTTATTATTCAACGCAATGTTAAGTTGTTGGAAGTCGTTTATATTATTGATGATTTGTACGCACACCTGTTACTGTGCTGATGTTTGGATCTAGCTAGTACTGACAACTGACACAGAGAAGTTTGTTTAATTTATCGATATTGGTGTCAAGAAGAAATGATTTTATGATATAAATTTCTATAGGTTTGGCGGCTCTCATCCATAAATTAACATTCAGCTGACAATAATTTCTTTAACCTGGTCAACTATCTAGATATTGCTTATATCAAACGTCGTGTTTGACTACGAACGAGGCGATTTATTGCCGTAACCACGTGTCACGTGCAACCAAAGAGGTGATAAGAAACATTTCTTATTCCCGTCTTGTTGATATTAACGTCTATAGAATTACCTTTAAACAAATGGAGGAGATTTCGTTTATTGATATTTTAACATTCCCCTTTTTTTTCTTATTCTAGGAGAGCGTCTTGATCATTGACCGCAGAGGTTCTCCTTTTTCCCTTTTCAGAGAAAATTCCGAGGCTTATACTGTTTTAATACAGAAAAAAGGGTTTCAGACCTTCACAGTTTATTTCACGCATTTTCACCACCACTCTCACTTTCCTACTTCCCCGTTCTCTCTCCACTTCCGTTCTGCCCTTTCCCCCCGAGACACACCCTACCATAAAACTCCCACCCACGGTTACACACCCCAGAAATACATAACTCCTCTCCACCGAGTCGGACCCACCGCGTGGCGAAGGGGGGGCAACAAAAGACGTAAGGCACAAACCTATATAATTTATTTTAAATGAAAAGAAATTGCCTCGTATTAAATAAATCAAAGTTAAAAATGGTTGTTTAAAATTTACTTAAATATACTATTATTGTTACCTTTATTTTTAAACTTATAACACCATTAGTAGAAGAATACGTAGGGAGATTTCTTTGGTAGACTTGTCAACTGGTTTTGCTCGGGTTACTCTATAAAATAGTTTTAGATTTATTAACAATCCTTTTGTTAGTAATTTTTTAATTAAAAAGTTAGCAAATATTTAATACAGTTTTTAGTAAATGCAAATAGTTTATTAATTAAAATTTACTTAAATGTATTATTATTGTTACCTTTATTTTTAAACTTATAACACTATTAGTAGAAGAATATGTAGGGAGATTTCTTTGGTAGTCTTATCAACTGGTTTCGCCCAGGTTACTTCTATTGCTAAAAATGGAAGAATATAATCATTAAGTGAATCCAATGCTTTTTTAGCATCTTCCCTGCTGACTTTACAGAGTTAGCCAGTTAACTCTGTAAAGCAGTTTTAGATTAATAAATAAATAAATAAATAAATAAATAAACATGTAACTCACAAGAGTATGTGAATACATTGCTAAAGAAGTTGAGAAAAATTAATGAAAGTTCAGATTAAATTTTTAATAACCTTTTTATCATAACTTAGATATGAAGTATTTCATATCCTATAAACAGAATTATTTACAAAGATATTTTCTTATATTTGTTAAACCCAACATTTAATATAAGTGGATGTTATGACTCAAATGTTTGATGTATTGTTAATACTATAATTTAATTAACTTTATACAAAAGTTCTTGCATTAAAATAATTTATATGTTAATAAATTATACAAAAATTAATGAGAGAAAAAAACAGTATTTTACTGCAAAACAAAATAATTATTTATGTATAAGCGTCATTAATTAGAATCACAGCTCATTTCATTTTTATGGCACAATTTACGACTATAATGATCGACTTTCTGTCCAGGTGAAATGAAACCTCTTCCACATTTATCACAAGAATATGGAAATGACTTTGTATGCTTGTAGATGACGTGAGCCTTTAGCGTAGAAGCCTGTGTGAAGCTCTTAAAACACAAAGTACAAGTGTACGGTCTCTCTTTAGTATGTACACGCCTGTGACATACGAGTGTGTTACGTAGCGAGAACGTCTGACCGCAATCCACACATTTGTGAGGTCTTTCGTTGCTGTGAGTCTTTTTATGAGATAGTAAATTCTTCTTGCTAACGAAATTCTTTCCACATTCTTCGCACGTTAACGAGTTATCATTCTCGTCTGCCATTTTTTCTATTTCTTGTGGCTTTCTAACTCGAAGACGTCGAGGATTAGCATTTTTTCTTGGCCGAGCTCGCGTAGACATGACACCAAACCGATTCGTATGTACCGCTCTCGTAGACGTTTATAGAATCATACTTTTCATTGGTCCATCTGTTACGCTTCACAATCACATGTAAGTGCCCTTCTCTATATATGCCACGTAACATTTACATATGGCAACTTCACGTGATTTAATTTACTTCACTCTTCCAGCATACACTCCTGTTATATGTAAATGTGGAGGCGATAGTCACACACATACATCATTATATATATTTTTCTATATATTATTCAAAAGAATATACAATTCTCTTAACTCGCGATTAACTGATAATTTAATTAATAGATTATATATATTATAGAAGTAATCGTAGAATACAAGTAATTTTTCAAAATTATACTACAATTTTTCATTCTAGAACGTCACGTGATCCAATATTTGATTTAAACTTAGGCTAAAATATTTATTAATACCGGACAAAAGTTACAATATATAATTAAGGCTTTCTTGTATTTTAATTATTGGTTTTTATACACGAATAAATTGCTTACAAGATTTATGAGAGCCATTCACATACACATATAGGGCTACAGTAGATCTCAATATTGAAGGGGGTGTAGGAAGCTTCTTGTGTATCGAAGTAAAAGATTTATTGTTTTATATTTTATAAAATGATAAATATAATTTAAAATGAAGTAAATGAAATTAATGCTTAATTATATTACACGAAGGCATTTTTTTATTGTAGCCTATTAAAGTAAGTTTCAGTAAAAAATAATAATTTCTGGTGTTTGTAATATGCTATGGCTGTATTTATATATTTTTTAAAGTGGTAGAATTTATTCATTATCAGCAGAAATATATTGTATATATATCCAACAATTGGAAGAAGTGAAGAAGTGTATTATTACTTATCAACATGGCGCATCATCCCTATCCGAAAGCCAAAAAAAATATATATATATTTTTAACTACTTAAAATACTAAATTTTGTCGTCCCTCTACGTATATGGTCTTGACCAAATGAACCCCTGCTGAGCTCTGTCTGTAGGCTATATATAAATGACATACAGAGAGAGAAAAAATAACAATAAGTGGATTATAAACTATTAAAGATGACACGGCAATGATTATAATTATTGTTTATTTTAGTTAATTATTTTACAACAATATTTAATGCATCAAACTTGCATTCCGCATATTGTTATAATAGCTTGTGTTATATTTAGTTTATTGTTCTCTGTTAACTATAAAGTTAACCTTTAAATTTCCTTCATTATCGACGTACTGTATATACATTCATTTGATAATTAATTTTAAAATGTTAGTGTTTTAAATATGGATATTACAAGCGGGAAATCGATTATTTGCAATTCTATGTGGCAGAATTATTAAACACACCAACACACACACTAGTTGCATGCCTCCTGTGTGTGTGTTTATCTGACTAATTATTTCTAATTGGTCGGACGAACACCTACTGAACACACATCGATAGTGTTTTAAATACTAAAACCACACATGAAACATCGATGCTTATAGTTCACTGTGTTTTTTTTTAATAAGTAAATCCACGTGTATAATTAGTGCATCAACCTCGAGAATTACATTAGAAAGAACATCATAAATACTGCATTGAACGATTACGGTATGACTTTCTACACTAACGCCAGGGTAAGAAGCACGAGATAAACAATTGAATAGTTTGATAGTAGACACGGATCAAGAGCTATACACGTGAAGTTTAAACAGACACACGTGCACGTGAATATCGCGTGAAGTTAAAACACACGAGAAGTGAGTAAATATCATTAAATTAACCAGAAATTTTGTTAAAATTTTTACACATTAATTTTATATTCTAATTTATACAATAATTTTATATTATTTAAGGAATTTTTTTTCTTTATAAACTAAAATATTACAAGATTTTAGTACATTCGAAGGCGTGTAATGATAGTTAAACGATACACGCAACAACACTTACAATTTAAAATATTACACGCGTATAATATTTTAATAAAGGCTTGTAAATTGTTACAATATGCAAATTTATTAAATGAATATTTTTTAAATAAATTATTTTTTATAATAATAGAATTGTATACATGAATTCATTTATATATGTGTATAATTTAAATACAATTAATTATTTATAATTTTATATTATATGATGAAGACAATAATAAATAATTCTACATATTATATGAAAGATCACCAGTCAATTTTATTCATTTAATAATTTAAGAAAATATATATTTAAAAATTGATTTTTTTTTCTTTTAAACTAGAAAATAAACAAGAAGAAAAAGGATGAAAAATACAATTATTTTTTAAATATCTTTTGATAAAATAATAAATTTAATGATTGCCGATTATAAAATATTTATCGTTTTAATTATTGAATAGTCGAAATTACATAAAAACTGTTTGTCTTTATAATTATTTTATCTTATTGTGTAGGTGTTTTATGCCCTGTTTACTTCTTATTATAACTAATAAATAAATAAAATAATTTTTTTTAAATTATTATTTTTGCAAATTATTTTTTGAATTCTTAATCGTAGATGTTGCTTGTTTACACGGCTGTATACTTTTGTTGTTTATTAATATATTTATACATTTTTACACGTTGTTTATATAAATAATTTTAGGTGCTCCTTGCTCCTCTAAATTTTTGCAAATCTTTCATATAAATAAACGTTATTGCTTGTTTCTACACAAAATCATTCTCGCATCCTTACTCCTCTATGTTTTCACATAGCTGCCTTATAAAGAAGAGTTTACATAAGATCATCCTTGTATATATTTGGCTACTTTTATATCTGTTAAACGTTATTTTATAGACTATAAATGTATACATTCTTATCCAAATGAGTGCAAAGTTCTATATGTAATCGGATGATTGAAAACTATGTTAAATATGTATACCTTGTCACATAATCTACCCAAGTAAGATATGTACCTGTTGGCACTTAGCCAAGAAAGTTCCATTTATCTTACAATTTAATCGTTACGTATTGGAAAGAGTAGTTTTTTTATTCGTCATACTTATTAAAAATAGATTTTGAACAGTTATTTACATATAAATACATTTATTTATAAATTTTTTACTATTTGTTCTAATATACTGTACTTGCATTAAATTCAATGTTCTCGTTTAATCATACGTATCTCGCTACATATCTCGCTAGGCATAATTTATAACATTGCATACTTATAGGAATATACTTATATTTTTGTTATTTATTTCTATATTAGTATATGGAATAAAGTTTGTTTACTTTATATAAGTATATAATATATAAATCTATTTTTATACTAAAATGTGTAAATGTGTATATATATATATATATATACACACTATTTATGTAAAGTGGTGAAGACTGACTATATACAGGACCCAATTAAATTCTCCATGCCTCTCTGTACTCTCTATATGAAACAAACATGTGATTTGATTCTCTCATCATTTATTAGTTGAGCGATTGTTGCCAAAATGTGTGGTCTTCTTCTACTGCTATGTCCATCAATTGGTCTGAAAAAGAAAGTGATTTGAAATTATCAGAGTATGAGACGATATTTGGGCCAGGGAGGCTGTTGTTTTTAATGAACGTGTAAGTTATGGAGCTAGATTTCTCGTATACGTAATTATATATATACATATTTTGAATATATAAAATGAAACAGAGAAAGAGAAAAAAGAGAGAGAGAGAGAGAGAGAGCATACACAGAGCAAAATTCTATGTCCAGGAATGGACTTAGATTTTAGTAGGGCCACAACAAGTCTACGAATTAAACTAAGTTTTATAATATATAAGAGATCCTTTCCTTCATTTAAATAATAAATTGAAAAGCACGAAAGCCTGCGTTTAGCGTATGTGTGTAGGTTTGTTTAGCATATGTGTAAATCCGGTTCTATATATATGTGTGTAGCATACGTATTTATATAAAAGATGTGATTGTATAATCGATGTGTATATAAAAATAAAAACATATTTTTAACGTCTCTCAGTTTATTAACATTATAATAAAAAAAATCTATAAATAAGAGAATTAAGTGTGTAAATATAACACGTTACTTTTTATATTTTAAATATTAGTTAAATCTGCACAGATATAGTGATGTATTTATACATCTTTAATATATTCATAAATTAAAAGCCGAACGAGAGAATTTTGATACATTTTAAACAGAATAAAACAATTAACGATTTATAAAACGAATTTATTAATTGCGTATGAGAAAATATACAAAAATATATAAATAATTTATAAAGTAATTAATTCGCTAATTATGTGTAATGTTATATAATTCATACAATTTATAACTGGTTTGATACGGATGATACATCCAATTAATATTTGAAAATTATGAATTATTCTAGTTGATTATTTAATTATTTCGTATCTGGAAACGATAACAGTATCCAAAGTATGCACTTGTCAACGTTGCTAATGATACTATTATAATAAACTCGCGTTACTCATCGATTTTTGAATATTAAAATTCCCTGAATTAATTTTAATCAAAGAGTTCTGTACGAAATTTCAACATATTTTTTTTCCCCAAAAGTTAGATAAATCCGAACTTATATGCTATTAATTTAGTGAGTGTATACGGATTATTTAGTGATTAAATTAACATTTTACACATCGTACAACTTTATCGCTGCTCTTACCAAAGTTTAACGTGGATAAAATCAATCTAGATCATCCCATTTTATTAAAAAGTGACATTATCAAGTATCATCCAAGTTTGGTTTAGCATCTCACTGGTTAATGTGGAGAAGATGGAGAGGAACTAAAACTCTTAAGTCACATTTCTCTTTTCCTCGTTACTCTAAGAGAAATTAGCTTTTAAGTGTAATTAACTCATCAAGAATGGTTGGAAAATAAAAAATTTCATATCTATATAATTAACAGGACCCATTTTTTCCATTTTATAATTGAAAGAAATGGAA